GTTTATCTAATACGTTTATTAAATTAAATTTTCATTTTTTTTTGTGAAATTTTTTGATGGACTATGTACAAGTAAATGTTGATGATTTAAGGTACCTCAATCACAATTTATCATATCTGACTCACATAACGGGTTTCTTCTTGCTGGAAATCACAACACAATCAATAGTAACATAACAAACGTTAATGTCATTTAGATAATGTTGTGACGTCATAAAAGTTGAGGAAATGGAAATGCCATCTGGATGAAATCCTAGTTAAAAATACACAAGACACATTCTATTTTCCTCTTGTTTTATTAACATTTGTTTTTTATTATCTTCACGTTATTGATACAACATAAGATCAACATAATATACAAATAAATAACTATATTTAGATATAAAACCACGTACATTTACGTCGTGTATGAGGTCATTCTAGCAGGTATGAGCTATATATGAGTAATAATCTTTGAGCAAAAATACTTAAAATAAGGACATGTTAAAACAGGAAAAAAACTTAATGCTTGTTAAAACAGTGTAAAACACTCGAACACCGTGACATATTGACTAAATTAATCCACAAAAATGTATATTTGCCATAATGTATGAGACAATCGGGTACATGAAACAATTGTACATAAATAATACAATTACAAAGCATTTAACAATGCCATTGTATCTATTGTTATTGTTTGATCTAAGTAAAAATCATACAATATTATTCATAATTTTAAAGTATTACTGAATGCATTACATACTAATGATACTGAAAAACAACAACAACCCCCGCCCCCTTAAATATAAAAAAAAACACTAAAAATTCAGTTTAATCATCAAATCGTAAACTAGTTCGATATAAATAAATAATTTTCAAGAAACGTTTACTTTATAGTGATAAATAAAGCCGAAATTATGAAATCACATGGATTCATTATTCCAATGACATGGATATTCACTATCATATCTAAGTACATTGTGTGCCGCTCGAAAGTAAAATTAGCACATTGCCGCTGTCTTAAATGATAGCCCTGATCGTCTGACCTGTTAACGTTTACTAAACATGGTAAAGAATCCTGCACCTACTGCATCATTTAACATGAAATTGACGAAAGTTCGCAACAGGAGTATAAATGTTCCAAAAACTGACAATGGTTTTTTTGTACTAGCTATAATATCAAGTTATACCACAAAACAGTGATTTTCTGAAATATTCGTTTCTTTGTTAATTCTGACACAAATGACGTTCCGAACAAACAAATGTTTTCTTTGACGTTGTAATTGTCTATGGCGTAACGGTCATTCTGTAGAAAATTACTCAGACAAATCCAAAAATAACCCAACAACGTTTTATTACTGAAAAGCATTTAAGTTAAAGGTCTCAATTATCTTCAGCGTTACGACTATTTGCTTACTTAATAATCAAATATCAAAAAGACTGAAATGGTTGTAAGGCCAAAGGTTGTGGGTCCAGTAAACTACATGGCCTATGGAATGGATACAAACAATTCTCGCGTTACAAAAAGAAATGTGATATTTGTGAATAGCTAAGTCCGGGAGGGAGTTCACCGTGATTTATGAACGAGGAGTAATTTTCCTATTGTATAACTGTATAAGTATCAAGGTACCCGTCACACGTTCCAGCCATGTCGTTACCTGTGTGACCAGTACTGAGTGGCTTAGAAGTTACGTGCCATATTTGTGTGGCCAGTACTCCACTTTAATATTACGTGCCGGGTGTTTTCGTACTCGGTACGTTTGAAATATCTACCCGCATTCCACCAATTACATGCAATTACAGGATCATAAGTAATCATTGGAACGGCACGTGTTAAGTCTGAGGTCACTTTCAACAAATTTCCTGTTTATATACAAACACACTTAGAGTCAGACAGTGATATACATATTTTGTCATGTTTTGTTTGATATTAAATAGTATCTTTTATTTATTTGTAATATTCCTTACAAAAATGAACAAACAATTATTTCATTTTCAATTGTTGGAGAATACAACGACTTTAAAGTTCCCTTACTTAGCTGCAACTTTTTCCTTTCGTATATAATTTACATATTGGTGGAAAGTAATTAAAATTTGTTATGTGATTTTTAGTTAAATTGTATCCAATATTTACGAGTGGTAACTTTGTTTAAATTTTATTTTAACAAGAAATCATGTAAAATAAAATAAATGTAAGGCATGGAAAAGATTGAAATCATTAAAAGTTAGGACCAACCTTCATGGGGTCTAAATATAAAGTTTACTCGAGGTACGTAAACAGAAAAGAACTATTTATCTAACTTTTCTATATTCACGATACTATTTTTCAGCACGTAACAGATAATTTTTATAATCAATTTCTTAAATTCAAGATTTTGACTATCCTTTTTTTCAAACGTATGAGAAAATTTCCGAAAATTGTTTCAAAAATGATTTTTTTTCGGAAAGCTAACCGTATAATGTCGTTTGTGTACTATAACGCTATATTTAACCTTTCGGATTAAAGCCGTGTTTGCGAGATGTTTATGTCCAGATTTTACTATACATGAACCTTTTAAACCACGTTCAGTTGCGATGACTTAATATAAAAAAAATAATCCTACAAGAGGTGATAATACTTTAGAAACAACAGTACTTTTTTTAACGATATTTTGTAAAGTGTTGAGTTATTTCTGAAGGAGTAGAAATGAAGTACATCATTATGACGGTATGTTAAAGTGCATTTTTTGTGTTTTTAAACCACAAGTTAAGATATATATATAAATTCCCTGTGTCATTTATCAATATATCCCCTCAAGGTACTTGTAAGCTTATCGGTATTCCACTTTCTTTAGAAAGCTCTCCATAATATGAAGAATACATCACACATATCAGCGGTATGTCCTTCCTAAAATTACATTACCGATACCATCTAAAATAGAAAACGACATTTTATATGTAAGGCAAGAATTGCGTGAAAGCCGATACCAGTTATTTTACTGTATCTGCACATTACGACTTAAATAGACACCAACTTACGGGATTGCAGTTTTTGTTGAATATAAAAAAAATCGTTATTTGAAAATCAAATATCGAAGTTTAGTCATAAATTACTGATACATAATTCGTGCGTTATATTTCTTTGTTGTTTTTATCATAGCGAACCCTTTAAAATGTATAGAATGAAATGATTATCAAAATATTAGTAGATACCAATTTACCAGAATTGACCGGCATCGAAAATCTAACTGAATTCTAACTATGGAAAGACATTTTTTTCTTTTTCATCATTGTTTGGACTGATACTGTGAATGAATTAAAAACACGAATTTTCTACTATCATTCAGGAGGCTTCATGTTATTAGCAATGTGATTTTCAGGTTTTCACAACTATACAATTGACACGAAAAGAAAATAGTGTGAATAATAATGACAAAGTGTTCTATTACATCTCAATAAATCATCATACGATGTTAAAAAGATGCTTGTATTTCTTACAGAAATAACAATTTATTGTCTTGTATTATATTTAAACAAACTATATTTCTTTAAAGAATGGACTGAGAAATGTTGATAATTTAATCAAAATTATTTCAACAAAATTGTCTGTTTCTGCTGTTCGACTACGAACGCATAGTAAAATAATTTAGCTCAAGAAAGTTTAATATTAAAACCCGTAACCTAATAAGGAAGTGAACGACAGTAAGAGACAAAACGTTTGTTTATCCTGTGAGCTCTACAGAAGATCAAGCGAACATTACGCCTGCATTGTCGGGTCAGGTGCACCCTTAGTAATTCTGTATATTATACAATAATGGAACATTTAATGTTCGGAACTTTTCTCCTTTTGTTGCATGATTCAATCAGCTGTTACTAGTCGTTAACGGTTTAACGAACATATTTGTGCGCCATTTGATATAGTTCATAAACCAGTACGAGAACACTGTTGTTTGGAAAAGAATGGTTTTCTTTGATGTAAGTGATTTTCATGACATGTCGGTATTTTCTTGTCGTTTAAGTTATTAAGTCAGACAAGTTTAATATAAATGGATTTACTGTTTTAAGTTTTCTATCTAGTTATATAAATTTCAGGACAAAAATGAATACAGCGAATAAAATCTAAACTCGTTGAAATATATTTAAGATATCTTTTCTGTAGAAAGAAAATAGTAGAAACTATAGAAAAATCGGAGGCATCCTTTCTTACTGTATTTTTCATAATTTTATGAAAAGTTTATTCAAGTTCAGGAACGAACAAAAATATCATATTCCAAACCAACACCTCATTAACCCTCGCATTCATCACACCAATATCGCGAACATCAGCTAATGTTTTTTTTTACCTTTTTATTATTATTTTTCCTTATTCTAATAAAGAAAAAATGATAATGATATACATATATTTTAATTTAAGTAATTATTTATAAATCTAATTGTGCCAAAAAATGTGTTCTTTCAAAGGCGGAATCTTCTGGAAAATGATAAGAAACGTGACATCTTGTTATTAACATATAAATTTCAAACATGACCAGGATATTCGGCGGTAGATTTGAAATGAATTGCAACATTTTGAAATAAACATCAACAAATATCTTAAATGTTCTTATTATTTATCTTTCAGTGGAAATATTTAGCGTTAACAATAATGTAAAAAAATGCAGCTAAATGTAAATCAATTTCACTATTGGAGGTGTGAATACATTACAAACATCGATATATTTTTGTTCAGGATGGGGTGATACATTGGTGGAGTACGACATATAGACCGCATTTGACTACTTGAGCGTCTGCACGAGAATCTCTAATTGGCCATAGGCGTTGCTTTATTGCCCTTTTCGACAGCAACCCACTTCTCAGGTCATCTATATTATCACTGACAAATTTTTACAGTCACCCGTTTTTGTCCAATTTCTCATAAACCTGAGTGGTAAAGACGTCTAAGTATGCTGTTTTACGAGATAAAAACCATAAAAATTGTCAAAGATTATTGGGCGTCAAGAACGTGAACTCAAGATCAAATTTCATGACCACTTCTCGGTCATTTTATATGGTTTGATATTCTGTTTGTTGGCTATTAAAATACTCATTAAATATACCACTGAGGTCCGAGGATCCCGGGTCGTTACACGCCATATTAGCAGAGTATTGTTCCGAAGGGTAATCAGATTCAGGACCGTGGTGGCCCGCTAACGTTCGTATTGACGTTTCGGTCGAGAGTTGGCGAGAGTTCATTACGTGATTAACGTCCTGCGAGTAACTCTCAACGTAATTGATACCATAAAGTGAATTTGATGAATTCTGCTCCATACGATGAGGCAGCTGGGGATAAGTCACTTGCTTGGCCATATAACCGCCATTATGGCTGCCATGTCGGGTTGCTATGCTATTGTTCTCAGATTGTGTTGCATGGTTGTATCGGGATGGCGGCTGTGTGTAGGAAGTCTGACAGTGTATCCCGGTGTTTACTCGGTATTGGTATAATGGACTATTGACAGCACCGTGTTCGTTGTTACCGAAACCGTCACTGCTGACTGGAGAATGCGCTGTCTCATTATTCCACGAATCTGTTGCTGCTAATCCACCGGTACGAAATTGAATGCTGGGAAATGAATACACAGAGGACGAACCACGCATGCTCCGTTTCATGTTGTTACCATAGTTATTATTGTTAAGGGAATCATACTGTCCGGAATTATAGTTACCCATGTGTTGTTGTTGTGGTATTGATGAACGGGCTGACTCAGCCTGTTTGATATCAGGGTGACCCATTCTTGTATTATGGTACTGGTATGGAGATATGTTAGTAGTAGCCATATTATGGGGTTTAGTTGGAGGGAATCCAGAGTTGTAGGGTAACGGTGCCGAAGAAAATCGTGATTGTTCCACATATGTATTGCCATATGACGCAAACTGTTGAGACAAATTTTCCGTTGCATTCAATGTTCCTGAACAAGCGTCCGGGCGACCTTTATTATTTATAAATCCATTCTCGTGTCTATTTCTATTAATACAAACATCTCGTTGAACCGGGCTAGACTTTAGAGACGACGAGGAGTATTGGGGTGTTCCATGACTCATGTCAGGGTTGGAATTAGTTCGATTAAAATCAACACAATTAGATACCAATGACTTGGCAGTACTAGGAGGCGTGCTACAAGGCAGTAACACAGGTGAATACTCTAATCCCGTTCTACCTGTCAAAACCTCACTCGACACCTCTGTGACGTCATCAAGCACATGCATCTTCGAATCGTCCATGTTATCTTTACTATTCGCGATATTGCATGCACATGATGAATCAGGGCTGTTAAGTGTTTGGAAGTCAAACGATGAAGTCGAGTGTTGGTTTCCGTTCGGGTCGACGGTCTGCTTTGATGTCTGATTTTTCTCCAAATCAATGACCTTCTCTGTCTCGCTTACATTTCGATCATCAACAATGTCTATACCGTTTGTTATGGTAACGTCTCTGTTATTGTCGTTACCCGGGGGTTCACTGTTACCCTCGTCACTGCTTCCCGGGGAGCTGGCCTTTAGAATATGTTCTAATGTTTTTGTTTCGGTTCCATCAGAAGAATACTGTCCGTTGTTTTCCATGTTTTCGTGTTTACCTTCAGCATTCTCCAATCTCTCACAACTTCCCTCTGATGATGTAGGACTATCCATACCACAATCCAACGAAAACGTTTTACCACCATTTTCCATTTTCTGTCGTTGCGACTGTGTTTGTCGTTTGTATTTCATTCGCCTGTTTTGAAACCAAACTTTGACTTGTCTTTCTGTGAGATCCAGTGAAGCTGCTATTTCGATTCGTCGAGGTCTACACAAATATTTGTTAAAATGGAACTCCTTTTCCAATTCCAACAGCTGAGTGTTTGTATAAGCTGTCCGTAGTCTACGCGTACCGCCGCTACCACCACTTCCATTACTGCTGCCACTTCCGGTTCCGCCAGTTCCGTTACTAGTTGGCGTCGTGGCATTCTGGGGATGTATCGGGACAAACTCGGGAGCTACAATGTATAGAAAATTGCAATATTACAAGTTGTGAAACATATTTAAATTAATATATATTATTAATATGATCAAATAACGAGTTTTTCCATTAACCAAACAAAACTATTTAGGAAAACATCATCTTTTCTTTCGCTATAGCATGTGTTATATTCAAACACTGTAAAGTGAATGCTAAAACATTATAATCAACGAAATTAAATATATATTTGAATGCATTTTAACTTGTAATGTTTTATATGAACGTATTATCTAATATCAGCTTGTCGTGATGAAATATGGGTAACTATTTATTTAAATAAGAACTTAACACAATACTCCAATAGACCGAATGAATTAGTTGATCATCTTAGTAAATTACAGCCTTGATTAGTTCATGGATGCAATCCTAAATAGACATTTTTATAAAACATCTCAAAATGGATATCTAACGTGGCGAGTAATGGTACAGCTCTTGGTTATAGAAACTTCTGGTAAGTATCGTAATATCACATGGTGTAGACATTTCACTTAATAGTATGGGGTATAGTCATTGTCAAACAGACCGAAATAATATGATTATGTGTTCCCAGTAAACGAATAGATATCCACCTGATCAATAATTATTTGTGGATACTTTGCTGAAGAAATATTCCTTCAACAAGAGCAGGTAACCAGGACTTATTTTAATGCCATGATATAAGATGATTGTACAAAACACACAAGTGACCAAATAATGAATTGAACTTTATTATACAGCTGCTCCCTCTTCCTAGGACTCGTCAGTGATACCAAGGGCCTATCTAAAATAATCGATATCAAAGTCAAAATTCAGACGAGGGTGTGCGCTAGCCCCATAACTCAATACATTTTGTAATTTCCATATGTCAGATACAGAAAGGTATTCGCATCACTTTACTTACTCTTAAACAATAAAAATATGTGAAACTCTTTATATCAACGCATTCTTCATTTAAAGAGGACCTTTTCCATATTTGACCAATAATAACCGCGACGACGTCCACAAACTGATATCTTATATTAGTATTCTTATGTTCTATATTAGATATTATTCTTATGTTTTATATTAGTTTGTATTGCTTTGCTTTATACTAGTTAATATTCATGTTTTCCTTTTTATTTCGAACTGAAGCTCAAAATAAGGAACAAGGGAAGAAAAACTGACGGAAAAAAAGATTTTACATATTGCTGCTGTAGCTTTTATCAATGACGTAAACCGTTATATTGTCGAAGGATACGTTATGATATTATTCACAATACCTTGTTGTTTTATTAGAGAAACAACCCTTATCGGCTGGATGTTTCTGTATACGCCATATCGTTACGGAAATGAGACAAACAAATGCAAAAATGCAAAATCACAGGTATTCTGTTAGGGCATAGACACATTGGAAGTCGATGCAGAATAAGTGCCATTTGTATGCAAAATTGATTTTTTGTTATAATTTTAATCTCGATAATTGTGTCACGACTTGAGCTATGTTTTTGGGTATATTATATATCAATTATAGCAAAGAAAGAAATATATCCAGTGACGTCATTTTATTAGATGACAAATAACATGGCAGACATGGTAACAACAATGTCAACCATGTTGTACAAACAAATTTACAACATCAACAATATCATCATTTTGATATAGCCAAAAAGATGGGGCATAAAAAACGTCACCGGACTGTGATGCTGTCAATCATAACACTCTAGCGCCATCTGATAGATAAACACACATCACTTAACATAATTTATGATGGTGGGCAGTCTTCAACTTAAATCTACAACTCATTTAAACACAAGGTAATAAGCTGTCCGTACGCGTTCCAACTTAAGCAACTGTTGAATACAGATACCTGCTCTATTTATTAACCAACAAATAATAAATATTCTGTTCCTGTTAGCCTAACACCCAGCAAGTGTATGTTCATTGGATAAAGTAGTTTTGTACAGCAAATTCGTAAAGAAACAGCATTAAGACAAAAAAACATTGATCGATTTATCTGCTGCTGATAATAAAATATGTTTAAAGAGTTTAAAATTACATATAAATGATAGGTTATTAGCTTCGTTTCCGCATTAATGTTCGTTTAAAGAAAATCAGTATTCAAAATTGAGCAAATTGACGCACTTCAAGTTTTCTTCCACTTTCCATTTTGGTGTTTTTAATGTTTGTATTTTCTTTCTGGAGTGAAGAAACTGTTGTATGATTAAATTTTATGTATTATTTTCAGACTTTGATGTGCTATTTTGTGTTGTGCAACACATGTATATCAGTTACATGGCGCTTATTCGCACATGTAACATAAGTGGATCTTAAATTTGAAGTAGAATTTTGATAATGTTTTTGATATCGCATTAAATGAGTGAACACTGAATTAGATTTTCAGAAGAAAATGACAATGTATTTCAAAACTAAAATTTCCGTCCGGAATATGTTTCACACATTTCCATGATGTTTTATCTTAATCCAATATATAATATTATATTGATTTACTTAAAACGAAAAAAGTCACTTTCAATAGTGCCCAATATATCCTTTTATAGCGCCAGCCAAGACCTTAGTTCAAATTTGTGTGACATTCATCTTTGAAGAGATGTGATATTAATTTATTAATAACTCGCTAATAATTGATATACCAAATGAAGTAGTGCTCTTTGTATCGTTATTGGAAAACAAGTCATAAGCAGATGGTCATTCAATGGATAAGGGTCAAAATGATAAAGTCATGATGTGCGTGCGACTATTCACGAAGCCGTGTTGATGGTCTATAGTACATGAGATACCTATCACAAATTAGGCACTATACGTTGACCTACATATATACAAAAAGAATAATCACTGGAGGTAAAAGTACGCACGTGTATATGACAGTACATCGAATATCTATTTGTTGTTATCATGGTCCAGTAATGTAATGTAAATATTTCTGCATACGGTCAGTGATCGAATGCATTTCTGGGCCTACTGTAAATGGTTAGCACTGTTTATAGTTAAAATGATATCAAATAATGATCTCTTAACGATAATAACTCAACAACTGAAAAACATAAACCATTTCTCACGCCAAAATAACATTATTCTTAAAAGAATTTAGAAATTGAGAATATTGAAAATATTAAATTAAAAACCCCAAACACTTAGATCAGTGATTAAACTAGGTTGTAATATAAAATACCAATTATGTACATTTGTCTTAATTAAAGCACGTTGCAGAATCAATAAGATACACGGATCCGAATATTGTGCTGTGTAAACAAATGACGCGAGTGTTGAAATGATATGATAAGTAGGTGGTATCGGATAGCCAGCGTTAGGAAACAACTGATGACGGAAAACTGATAGACACATACGATATCTAGGGAAAGAGGGAGAAGGATGATTGACGAAATTAGGAAGGATACAAAGGGTGTTGTGATTATCAAGTTATATTTGACATAATTGAACTACAGGACGTCAAAAGTATGCGCAGAATAGAAAAAAATATCAAATTAAGATCGGATAAAACAGGAATCTTTTGGAGATTGAAAAGGGTTGTTTTTCCCGCGAGGACAGAACGAGATATCTTATCTATAAAAAATACCAAACACAAAAAGGCACGTGTAATCGATGCTGGGTTCGCATCTCCAGATCCTATGAGTTTTCCACTTACACGTTTACTGTTTGTAATTGCATTGGTTACCAGAGAGAGAACAGGTGTATAGTTTACATCGTTCAATTACTCGTATGTATTAGTATTTTTAAAATGATCAGGTTATGAAATCCGAACTTAAATATTATTACAGGAAAGATTAGGCGTGCATTTACTTAAATTCCTCTCATGGGTCTCTGATCATATATGATAGACACACACGTTTAGATGGCCGGGCGTTAAATCTTTGGCCTGCTGAGCTACTCCGAGGTAGCATGTATCGTTGGTAGACCCTCCAGAAATATCCAAATGATAAATGCGTACTAGATCATATCGTTGTATTTCATCTGTGATAAAAAAGAGTGCTGAGAAGAATTTCCTATTAATGATAAAAATGTAAATATAATCACAAAGGTCTGTCAAGTGTACGCCTGCGGTCTGACTGGTGGGAGTGCTTTACACAGCATCGCCCTTTTACACATATCGTCTACCACACAAAGGCAAAAATCGAATACATTTCACTTCTAGAATTGAAATTGACAAAATTCATATTTCAGCTGACTCAGACGTTCAGAGGTTCAAAACGGGATATTTCATTGTAATTCATTTATTTCAATATAATGTTATTTTTCTGATAGGAAACATATTTCAGCTGATGTGGTACTCGAAATGCCATATGCGAAATTTTTGTTATGTTTTTTTTTTTTTTTTTTGCTTTTTTTGTTTTTGTGTTTTTTTTATCAGTAATGTATACACCATGCTAAGTTGCATAATCATTGATCTGATTTTACATTAGCTAATCAAAATATTGTCATTCATGAAACATTTCATAATCATTGTTAAGCTAGACCGTTTTCCCCCTAAACCTTTATTTTTTAATGTCGCACAGTACATAGCGGCAATGCACGGACGATACAAAACTCGAATTCATTTTTATCAATGGTTTAAAAAAAAGTAGAAATGTTCCGCTGAAGAGAGAGGTTTTTAATTACAAACCGTCTTTGTTTGCAAAACATCTAGGTTACAGAGTGTTTTCTGCATCACTGGTGCTCTGTTCACTTTCATGGTGGGGCACAGTTAAGGGCATCTGATGAGGAACCATGTAATAGTTCTCATAGACAATATAGGTTTCCACTCAAAAGGTTGTGTTCTCTGTATTTAACACAACGCGAATGTTTCACTAAATGATATGACAGATCGATCAATATATATATTTATATCAATTGTATTTGTGTGTATATATTCTGTTTTGTATTGTCGGTGATAAAAATTATCAAGTTGAAATCAATTTTCTTGATTAGGATATAGTAAAATTCTCATAGATCGTGTCGCTATGTGTACTAAGCCTCGGTGAGACATATTCCAAGATGTATCGT